GCCACGCTCTCCGTGTTGGGAACATGCATTGTGAGAGGAAACGAGAGAGTGATGAACACCAGTCACCATTTTCTACGTCCAAATGTCTGTTGTTGTCTGTGACTTTAATTGGTGTTTTTCTTTTAAGGACTCTGGTAATGTGTCCTGAAGCTGAAGTGGTAGCAACCGGCTGTTTCTCCTTCCTTTCTCCAAACCAGTTACCCTGCACAGGTCATACCAAAGACTTGGAAATGGGCCCCTGCTCAGCATGGGGACGGATTGGGGGGGTTAAACTATCAAATGGTTCCCTCTGGCTGCAGCTCACTGCTCCCCACGGGAAGGGGTCTAATGTGGAAAACAAATGTCACACACACCAGTGTGTGTGTGACAACTAGTGGGACTTTAACTTTGACTTGAACTTCTCTGACATTATTGAGCGGAGAACCTCTCACACCAGTGGTGTTCTGTTGCTAAATATGTGCGTGACAACCGATGGTCCAGTTGTTGGCTTCGGTCCAAGCCGTGGTATTGGCTGAGGTTTTTAGACAAATGCAAGAGGACCACTTCATTTTTTTCTCCACAATATATTTATACGAAGTTGTTGAGTCATGAAAAAAATGCTTTAAGATGGTTGTTTTGCAGATTTGTCATTTTAGCTTTAGCTAACTAAGTTTTTAACAAACGTCCTAAATGAAAAATAATAAAGACAAACAGCTTGTGATGCACGTTTAGAAGAATCTCAATAGGGATTTTATTCATGCACTGGTGTAGATTTCATATTGATTCAGAGGATTTATCGAAAGTATTCAGCCTACCATCGTTGGTACCTCTAGACCTTCTTGTTCGTTGTCGTCTGGACATTCGGCGAACAGCTGATTCGTGAGATTTCTTGCAGTCGAAGCTCACACTTCTGTTGCAAACAAGCAGCGGGAGATGTTGTGTTACAGTGGCCTTAAACATCAGCTCTTATAACTTTTTACTCGTAAAACTCCTTTGAGAAATCACATTTTCTTGTAATTTTATTTTAATTTAATTCAATTCAATTCAAGTTTATTCATATAGCTCCAAATCACAACAAGAGTCGTCTCAGAGGCACTTCAGAAACCCGAAAGAACCACTGAACCACGGCCTTCTTCTGCTGCCCGCTCTCTGCAACGGCAGCAGGTGTCAGCTCGGTCAGCTGGGACGGAACAAACTGACCTGACTCCAAACCAAATCACGACAAGATTCGTCTCAAGGCACTTCACACAGTAAACATTCCAGTCCAGGTCAGTTCATCAAGCCAATCAGTAAAAAGTTTCCTATATAAGGAACCCAGCAGGTTGCATCGAGTCACTGACTAGTGTCAGTGACTTAACATCAATCCTCATACTCAGCAAGCATTTGGCGACAGTGAAGAGGAAAACTCCCTTTTAACAGGAAGAAACCCCCAGAGAATCCTGGCTCAGTATAAGCAGCCATCCTCCACGACTCACTGGGGATGGAGAAGACAGAGCAGACACACACACACACACACACACACACACACACACACACACACACACACACACACACACCAAGTAATGTGTCTATAGTTATGATTTCTTAGTAAATATTCTATTTGGTGAGAGACAAACTTTATTGTATTTATCCTAGTGGATCTATAATTAAACGGGTAAACTAGTAGTAGTAGTAGTAGTAGTAGTTACTTTTTTTTTTACTTTGACTCCTTTTTATATGTCTTTGTTGACAATCTGTGGCACACGAGCGATGCATCTAATCCCACTCAGCATCTGAATAATTTATACTCAATCAGGACTGAGAGGTTGAAGCAGTCTTCTTGGCACATGCATTCTCAATGATTCATTTCACCAGCTATGCAAGGGGTCTGTTAATTGTTGTTTACTGCTCACTGTCCAACCACATGTTATTTTTATGCTGTTGAGATTACTCCCGACAGCGCTTAGAGTGCTTGGGAAATAAAGTCCATTAGGACGTCCTGGAGCTGTTCCTCTGTCAAGTGTAGTGAAACTTTTATTGCATGGAAACCATAAACACCCGCTCAGTTGAAGCATCAGTTTGGGAGAACAAAGTGCTTTACGAATCCACATGGTAGGAAAAATACCTATGATGCAATTATGAATTTACCTTTTACCCATTTCTTTTACCTTTTTGCGGTTTGCACAGCAAAGATAGAGAAAAAGATGGCATTTCATGGGTTGTTTCTTACACATAAAAACTGTAAAAATGAAAGTCTCGATAGTGCGGCGTCTTTGGAAAAAAGAGACACCATCTGAGAATTGCATCGCTGCCCTCCAGCTGATGGATTGATGACCCTTTTCTGACAACTCATGCTTCAGCGACTTCATCGGTGACATCAGACCTTCTGGGCATCACAACACTGTTGGTGTTAGGGTTGCACAATATATCGAAAAATTATCGTCATCGCGATAACAGGACGTACGATAGGCCCATCGCAAACACGGCAAAAACAGCGATAAATGTTTGCTTCAACATTTCCATCCGTGTCATTGATCAACTTTTTGTAAACCAGCTCTGTTTTTTACGCGGAAGTATTATTTGACCAATCAAATGTAGCCCTTCTGATATGCGGCCAATCAGATGGGTCCGTTTACGTAATACGCCCGCCCCCTACGTAGACCCTAAGGATGGAAAGCAACACCCAAACTGAGTTAGCGGCGCCGTTCCCTTGTTCGTCATGCTGGCTCAGATTAACGAACGCACTTTGTGCTGAGGTTTCTGGATTCAGCGCTGCTTTCAAACGTGAACGTGAGTCCGCTCGGTGTCGTTAAGCAGCTGATAATAACCGGGCTGACTCCGACACGTGCCGGTGAACCAACCCACCGTTAGCCCCAGGCTCCGGTTAGCTTCCAGCTAAAAGGCTACAGCACTCTCCTCCCAGTCCCACCCTGCTAAAGAGGGCCTGGAAAAGTTCCCCCACCCATCAAAGTGATTTTTCATTTATGAGCTTTTATAACCTTGTTAATCAGGATAGTTGATTTGCTGCTGCACATAAACTGTCAGTCAGAAGCTCTGCTAGCCGCTTATCTTAGAGGAGCTAGTTCAGTTTGTTAGCTTGTTATCAGAATCATAGTTGCAGTTTCATCATCTGAGCTGCTTTTTAAGATCTAGGTAAACTTGTTCAATTTGGGGTTAAAAACAAACGTTTTCACATATTTTTCATGTAGTTTTTTGCCAGTTCCTCTTCTGAAAGGTAGACAATTGTTTTTCTCTTTCCCTCAGAAAATCTTAATATTCTCCTAGTTTGGCCCAGCACAGTTCACTTCCCAGTTACAGCAACAGCCTTATATCATAACCACATAAGTGGAGAAAATGCTCAGTAGCAATGAGAGAATTTGCTGTTGCATTTAAGTGACGTTAACTATTATTTAACATTTAAACTTATTTTCTGATTTTTTTTATTTATTCAAAAAACCCTGGTAAGGGATGTTTTTTTTGTATGTGGAGCTTTCAGAGTTATCAAAAATATTAGCTTCATCTAAACCTTCAACTTGCATTTTGGATCCAATCCCAACCAAATTATTTAAAGATGCATTTCCTTTGGTTACTGCCCCCATTCTAGATATAATCAATCTATCCTTAGTAAATGGGTATGTACCACAAGATTTCAATGTTGCTGTAATCAAACCTTCACTTAAGAAGCCTTCTCTGGATCCAGATGACCCAATGAATTATAGACCAAAATCTAACCTTCCATTTTTATCCAAAGTCCTGGAGAAAATAGTGGCCATCCAAGTATGTCAGCATTTAAACACTAATAACCGTTTTGTTTTAAAAAAAAAACTATATTATCTCGGTGGATTACCGTGGCTGCGGTGTAGGCGCGGTGACCCTTACCAGCCACCGTATCATCTGCTGAATTTGCCGGCGGCACATGCGCACTTTGTTGTTTACAACCAAAACTTTCTTGAAGCTAAAGCTGAAATAATGGCCAAAGGAGGAAACGGCAGCGCTCAGGAGGACATTTATTATCCCTCAAAGAAGACAAAGTGGGAAGTGCGGGCATCTTTTGGATATCTGAAGAATGCTGAGGGACAGTTGATAGAAGACGGCTATCCTGTTTGCAGCACGTGCAGAAAAAGTGTCTGTGAAAGGCAGCAACGCTTCAAATCTCAAGACACATCTGCGTGACCATCACCCACAACTCTACAGTCAACGCAAGGCAAGCTAACGTTAGCGTTTTAGCTCAAATGCGTGATCCGAGGATTTGGGGTGAGGGAGAATGCAACGAGTCGCTATATAAAGCAGCCGCAGCGCCGCTACCTGCATATAAACCGTGTCGCGGACACCGCCATGTTGAAATGACGCTATGCATTACGGGGCTCCCAGGGGCCGATAAGAGTTGGTCTCTCTCCGAGAATAATTATGAATTTAACAACGATTACTGCCTGATGACATTTTCCCACATCTGCAAAGCTCACTGGAAGGACACAAACCGAGGACGATATTTTCCTGATATAGGGTTTATTACTCAAGTAAGGGTAAAAAAGTATCTGATTAGAAGGCTACTTGAGTACTGAGTATCATCTGAACTAATATTTTTAAAATGATGACATCAAACAGACATAAAATAAGAAGTTATGGGAAAATATTGGTATTTTAAAGACTAAAGGGGAAAAATGTAAACAAATAAACAACATAATTACAAAATAACACATTTTAGGCAAAATTTAGACACAAACTGAGGACAATATTTCCTGATATACAGGGTTTATTTAATTGTGTGAAAATGTAGCACGTTTAAAAAAAATACCGCGATAATACCGAAAACCGTGATAATTTTGGTCACAATAACCGTGAGGTTAAATTTTCACACCGTGAAAACTCTTGTCGTGATTTGGCGCTATATAAATAAAATTGAATTGAACTGAATTGAATTAGCATGGAGCTAGATTTGTTCAATAAAAATAAAACAAAGTGATATATCTTTTACGAGTACATTCACTTGCATTTCACAAAAGATAGCTTCTGTTAGAAACATGTTTTATGTATCTACGCAGGTTCTGACAGTGCTGGTAGAAGAGATCCAGAACTCCTGAGAGGTCTCTTGACAGGACATGATGGTCTTTAGATTCACCACAAAGGTGCACTGACACCCCCACTCCTCTCATGCTCTATCAAACATCAGCAACTAAAAGTATGTCCTCCTACACTCACCAAGGTAAGATGTTGAAATTTATAATGTGGACAGATTATGATTTTCTTTATCTGAAAAATATAATAATTACCAGTGATTGAAGTTGTGTTTAGATGTTTTTAAAAGCATCACTGTGATGGATCTGCATTCTCACATCAAATTCATTTGATTTTGGTCAATAATTCCGGTACATCTCCAGCGTCAGCTATTGCATCACACTGCATCGTTCCACAAATGTGGAATGACCTTCCAAGCACTACCAGAACCGTGGCTTCCTTTTCAATTTTCAAGAAACTCCTGAAGACCCTGCTCTTCAGAGAGCATCTTATAAACTAGCACCCTCCCAGCACCCGTCCCCCCCTCTACTGTCCACTCCTTGTTCCCTCCTCTCCATGATTGATGTCAGTGTTGTTGTTATTGTTGTTGTTGTTGTTAGCCTCTAGGGCAAAATGCCGATTATCACTTGTAGGTCGCTTTGGACAAAAGCGTCTGCTAAATACATAAACATAAACATTTTATCCATGTTTAACTGTGGCTTTGATCCTTTCTGAGTTACACAAAGAAAAAATGTTAGCAATATTTAAAAATTTTACCTGACGAATCTTCGTGAGATTCCAGGTTTTGGGTTTTATTACCTGACGCACAGGAGGCGACCCGCGGCAGCGGCAAAGCCGTCTACGCGTTCTGTTCCACGGCGTAATCGAATCTTCCGTTGTTTTGATTGGCTGTGTCAGGTTGGAGGGAATCAAGGTTATTTAAGCGGTTCAGAGTTAAAAAGGTGGTAGATATGATGTTTCACAAGGTGCTGCTAGAGTTATGCGGCTCTGGCGCAGAAGGCGCAGGGCAAAGAGGTGCCGGCTGCGGTGGTGAAGGTGAACGGGACCATGGTCGTGGAGGCTGGTGTCTGCTTCCAGCCTGGCAGCAGGCCTGTGCAAGCAAGGCGCCGGCATATACTAGTAACAGTCACCAACAATGTCCCACGCCGCGGCCTTTTTGTGAAGATCTCTGTATTCTTTGGTAGAAATATTTTACAGTTCTGGGAAATCCGTTACAGCAAGTATCAACTTCTCCTCCATGTTTGCTCTGAGGTGTACGGAGCATCCTGTCCGCTCATTGGTCAGTGAATGAAACCTCCGTTGATTGGTCCTCGTCCGAGCGACAGCGATGAAAAGTTGAAAATATTTAAACTTTCTGGGATCGCGTCGCTGGGTCGCCTGTGCACGACACGTGCACGAGCGCAAAATTTCACATGCACTTTTTTCGCGTTTCGCGTAGTAGGAGGGAGACCCGCGATTATCGCTTTGTCGCGCATGTCTCATTGAAAATGAATGGAGGAGAGGCGATGTCGCCTCCCGTGTGTCGAGCCCATTACTCAGAGAAACCAGAGAACATAAACTGCTGTCTTTTGCAAAAGTAGCAGGGTGTAAAAATATTGGATTGCTTGCTCAAAGGCAGAGAAGCTTTTCAAATGAAGCTAATGGAAGACATTTGCTCTTGAGTTATCTCTGAGAAGCTGTTAGCGTGACTTTGGCTGCAGTGTGCAGCAGGTACGATGGTGAGTGGCTGTCACCCCCCCACAGAAACCCATTAAAACTAATTTGAGTTTTTCATTGAAGCGCCGCAAGTAAAAAATGCACTTTCACCTCGACCAATGAGCCCCGGGCTCTCTTTAAACGCAGCTATGACTGAGAGCTGGAGGCGTGTGTATTCCTCGTCTTCATGCTCTGGGTGTTTTGGTAGTTTTATCAGAGTGATGCAGCTTGTTTTTGCTCCTGTGTGAGAACTTCATCACCTTCTTTTCCCTCCAAACTGTGTTTGGATGTGAAGTCCCAGCCTTCAGTGTTTGCATCAGAAAAAGTTGTCAGAGATTCTTCTTCTGCTTGGCTGTACGTTACATATACGCTGATTTCTATGTTCCTCGTTTCCTTTCCCATCTTTGTTCTGATCACTTCCACACTTACATTATCCTTAAATATCACAAACTGTTTACTAGCTTTTTAATTGAAATGTTTCTCAGAATTTTTCTTCTTTTTAAAATTTCCCTCAGTTTGTAAGAAATGTTCAAATTTACCACGACTAAAACGACCCGTGCTCATCAGTTGCAGCCATGTTTCTGACATGTTTTGATGTATAATTCTGTTTTTCCTTGTGATTAATGCCCCATTAGTTTGTGTCATCTGTGTCCAAATAAATTAACTAAGTTAAAGTTGTGTTGAAACCGTGTCTTGGGCACAAAACCTCTCAACTGACTTTTCTATTTTGGTTCCCTGGAAATTGGGAAAGAGGCTCTCACTTCTCAGAGAGCTGTATTCGTAAGCCTTTTTGACCACATATGACAGATCATAATTTTCCTGGTCCAAAACCACCATTTCACAGCACTGAAGAGTCTTTTGTTTGACTTAAACTTGGGTGGCACAGGCTGCCATGTTGTCATGCCACTTGGTATTTTGGGACCGGACCTTGGAAACGGGGCTAGAACAAAAACAGAAGGAAAAACCTGCATCCCTGTTGGACCCTTCTGCCCCCCCCGGGATCAGTGGTTTGATGTGGCCGAGGAGGTGGGGATGGGGGAATCCTGCGCCAGTAATGGCGTCATGCTCTGCAACTCCCTGATTTGGACTCAAACAGAGTGCTTTATCACCATAGCTGTAACATATATATATATATATATATATATATATATATATATATATATATATATATATATATATATATATAATAAATAACCTTAATTCCCTCCAACCTGACACAGCCAATCAAAACAACGGAAGATTCGATTTTGTCATGGAACAGAACACGTCGATATATATACACATCTTAGCTTAGGCAGATTTGGCTGCTGTTGGAAACAAAAGTCATCTTCATAACTTTAATTGAAGCAGTTGTCATTTTGCACAAAAATGTTTGAAATTTAAGTACGATAGGAGAAATGTGATGTTAGTAGCCTAAAAGTATCAGTATTGGAAATGAAGTGAATCGGTATTGGAGGTCGACCGATATCGTTATTTCTCAGATACCGACAGGTAAAAGCCATGGTCTGCCGATGGCTGATTTTCTTGATCAACATCTAGACGTTTCGACCTCATTTCATGCTAAAGTCTCACTAATAACATCAGTTTTTGAACACTGGTAAATCTTACTTTTGTGCACTGCTCAGTGTTAAAATCAGACCTCTAATTAAAGTTAATCAAACTGGTAAAGTATTATTATATATTTATTATATAAAGTATTAAATATTCAAAAGAAATTTTAGTTGAAAATGTTTCTTTTGAGCATTTATTAGGCAGATATTATCCATCCATCCATCCATTGTCTGACCCCGTTTTGTCCATGAAATCATTTTTAAACTTGATCTCTTTTCCTTTAAAGTGTAACTAAACCCCAAATAGCTTTTTTTCTTATAAACTGAATAATTGGGTCTTTACAAATGCAATCTTTCTGTTTCTGTGCTTTTTTTGACATGTTTGTGTAAACTTGATTAAATCTGGAATCTAGGTCTAAAAACGTCTTAGTGCCCCCCCCCCCCCCCCCCCCCCCCCCCCCCCCCCCCCCGGGCAAAATAGCGGCTGCTGCATTTTAAACTTGTGATTGAGTGGGACTGGAACAATTTCACGTCATCGGTACAGTCTCCTCCCACTCCCCCTCCCTCTGAGGATGGAAATTCCCCACACTTGGCCATGCCACTCCGTGCCTCCTGGCAACGCCCACTTTCATAGCATTTTTCAAACCTTGACTAGGGGTGGAGTTACATTTTCTGGTGGTGTGCGGTCCCTCTTTAATGAAAATAAGCAGCCAAGGTGCTGAAAAGCTGCAGCTCCTTTTTCTAGAATCCAGTTTGTTTAAGACTATCACTCTTGCCCCGGCTTCTATCATTTCCAGCTCCCAGTTTCAGTCAGTAACTTCAGCAAGGATTCACACTGGGAGCTATCAAAAGAGAGATTAAAAAAGAGCGGTTAGTGTCTGCAAACTGTAGCATAATCTTCAAAAAGGAAGCTTAACACCTGCTGGCCCACACTGACGGCTCCTCGTTTAAGGCCGGGGTGTCAAGGAAAAGGCCGGGGGGTTAATTGTCGGGTTTAGTTGGAATGTTTTGAACGTAGAGATGACTGAAGGTGAGAGGCAAAATGAAGCTGAGAGGAAGTTATTAAGGATTTAAATTTGAGCGTGATGCTGCTCACTTGATCCCTGCTTCCCTCCCTAAGAGCTGGAGCTACACAAAAGCACTTTCTTCTCCCTGCGTTGGAGAAGTGTCTTAATATTATCGCTGTAATTTATCCTCGGCACGGCCAAGTGCTCCTTGCTGGAGAGATGGGTTGGAGATGGGTTGGAGTGAGTGGATTCAGATCAAGAAGAGGCCTTTTTCAAGAGAACAATGAAAGCTGCTGTGGTGAAACAGGATTTTGTTTTCTTTCCCACCGTCTTCAGGTTATTCTGCTGGGCTCATTACGTTGTCAGATGAAACGGCGTTGTGGTGTGATTTTTGGTAAATAGTTTGGATTTGAAAGATTTACTCTTGTAGGAAGTGAAGTTCAGAACTAAATAGTGGCTTCTATTTTTCATTTATTCTCATAGAAAACGTTCCGTATGGCCACATTTGTTGTTAAAATCTTTGTAACCACTTTTTTCGTATATCGACAATTTTTTTAATGTCTCAAAATTTTGTCTGTTTAAATTAGTTTACAGTAACTGTTAGAAAATTGTAATCAAGTTACGTTACGTTCTTTTATATTACAATGAGCTGTCGGGTTACGTTACATCGCAATACAGCACATTACAAAACATGCATGTCATGTTATGTGACAAAATATTAGGTTATGGTAAAGGTGCATGAAGTAACAGTGACATTCTGTGGTCAAATGTGGGTACTGCAGTCCGTGTTTCAAAACAAACAAGTTCACTCCGAGCAACTGTTGCCAGTTATGGCTCAGCGCCAGAAGATTGTAGATGAAGAGCGAAGACGAGTCACACACAGTAAGATGCTGAGGCTTCTTAAAGGTACAAGAAATAACTTCTGGGTCGCTCCT